GGCTGATTTGGGGGGGGGGGGGGGTGTGCTTCCCCCCCCCGGGTCCCCCCCCCCCCCCCCCTTTAAATAACCCTGAATCTGTCCCTTAATGGTTTATTTTAGGGGCTAATCCAACTCGGGGGAAGGCTTGGTATCGGCTGGAGGTATTTCCCGGATAAAAAAAGTTGCGCAACACCGCTGCTTTATTTCCAAAACCAAAAATCAATTTTATTACCTGGACATTGCCTGGTTTTATGGAAGAAATCTACGTGACAGAAATCGCCAAATTTTAAATGAGATAAGAGATAATTGAAGAGAATTTCAACTGATAAACGAGCCGCGTGCACATGCATGCAACTCCATTAAAATTAATTTGAAGTCTGGTGATTATTTTGCCATATGTACACGCCTTCTGTTTTTAAACAAAAAGTAAAAATTATAGAATATAATTTTTATTCAACTATTATATACAGTAACATCCAATTTCAAAAGCACTTGAACAATCATTAATGAATCGTGTAAACGCAATAAATCTATAAACGGTAGTACCCGATGCTCTCGGGCCGTGGGGAAAAACCCGTCTAAACCCTTCGTGGGGAATACCGGGAAAGTGCCCACGCCCGGATATCTCATACACTATACTGGTACACAAGGTGGAGCACAAAAATTTACCTTTGAAATTTCTACGGAAAGAGGTAATGAAGCCAATTAAGACACATTTAATCGAGTTTTAACACAATTAAACTGAGACTTCAAATTTATCTAAGGGGATGAATTAATAAATAAAGTGACTCAATCCTTTTACAACTGAAAGCATCCATCAAAAAATCAAAAATTGAATATAGTTCTTTTAATGATAAAATATATAAAAAGTTCAGGTAATATGATTATAACCTAAACACCTTAAGGATTTAAACTAAACTTTGACATATAACTCTGTTTAAAATCAGTTTCTCAAATGTAATTCTGCCCTTCAATCGCAACTACATGTGCCTGTATGATACAAGTAAAGAATAAAGCAAGCTTGCTTTGAAATATTTCAGATCTCACATTACACTTTATGGCCGTCCATGTAAATGTTAATATGAATTTTTCGATCCGGAAAAAGTGCATATGTGATGAATTGGATATATTTGTCAACTATAACACTTGAGAAAGTCATAATGTTAGGCATATTAATAATGCGCGATCCTCTATCTTGAGAGATGACTGTGTGCACCCAGCCATCCCTCACGAGGAGCAGACTGTACAAAAAAATATAATGAAATATCTTCTCAAACTAAAATATTTCATTATACGTTTTGCACAAACTATCAATGTAAAACCTCTTCATGTAAAAGCATTTACATGAAGTCAGATTTTACAAAGATGTGAGAGTTAGTTGAGGTTAGTGTGCGGATTATGATCTTCTCAAACGCTATACTGACGAACAACTCCACACCATCAAAAGCACAAATTTGAAAACTTACTACCTCACTAAGATTGAAATAAAACACAGACGACCGTAAGTGGTGGTGATACCAGTGTTTTTTGAAAAAAAACCTATCTGCATTTAGAATGTGGATAAAGCAACTGGGTATTCTATTTTAATTTTTAAAATAATTATAATTATTATAATAATTGTAGAGGCAAATTTTCACACAGAACCACAATTCATCTTATTCAATTGGTCATTTATGAAATTATGAATGATTATCTTGAACTTCAGTTTTCTCTTAAGCTACTTAAATAAAATGACTCACTGTCATAAGTGAAAAAAATACACCCGACTCGCATCTGTGACCCATGAACCGCAAAAATTCTCAATATCCAAGAGAATTGAGGACATTGTTAGACTGTATTCCTCTAGCATTCATTATATCGCTTTTCATTGTCATTCCACATTCAGTAAATTTGTTTGCAGACAAGCTGTGTCCTTAAAGACTGCTCGGACGTCTGATTATCAGTGAAAGTGGCTACAGGGGCTCGTTGCTAGTGCCATCAAGTGTATAACATCTTGGACATTTAGGCTAGGATTGATGGAATCTGCGTTCGGGCATTATTTCTGGAAAACTGCCCTTTCGTAGCCTACAAACGAAACGAAGTTTCTGATCACTGTCTATATAAGAAACACAATAATACACCGTTATAACACTAAGAATTTTATTTAATTTTAATTTTATTTTTATAACATTACACAATAAAACCACATTATGATTCAGGAGAGTGCTAAGACTCTACAAAAAATTAAAGTGACTGGAGAATAAGAGAGATAAAGGAAGGCACACTAATCACGAAAACGGCCAATAATCGGAACAATATAAAGTTAAACAGACAAAAATACATGCTCACCTGTACGATGGCCTCTTAGTACCACAACCGTAGGACTGAGGGTGATGTTGAGGGGTAGTAGCTCCTAATATTCTAGTCCAGTGACGACGCGTGTATCAAACTGAGACTGATGAAGATCTGAAAGTTAGCCAATAGCAGGTTAAAATATTCTGCATGAATTTTTTTTTTTTTTTTTTTTTTTTTTTGCAAGTTTGTGACAAATTAAGAAAGCTTTTGACCACTTATTTTTTTTTTGCATGAGTTTTCTTTTCAAGTTTGCGACAAATTGAAAGAGCTTTTGACTTCTAAAATGTTTCATTAAAAGAACGAAATTGTCATCATTTACCAGTAATAACTGTGGACTAATCCTTTTCGTCTAAAATTAACGTCTAGCTTTTATACTTTTTATACTTTTTTTCAGGAAACCCTTATCCGTGATCTTAATGAGTAGGAATGAGTACCTGTGCCATGATGACTTCACCAAACTGTGAGAAGTAGGCCTTCAAGTCATCGTCTGCTCTTCCAAGGCAAACCCAGCAATATCAGGTCACTGCACTTCTTGCTGTTCAGCCGCTTTGTTTTCACGTTGCAATTTTCTGGGGTGTCATTTCCTTTTTCTTTTGTTCTCTAAAATGGTTACAATTTCCAATTATTATTTGTTGTATCAATATGTCTAATATTTTCTGTGAAATCAATGACTGTGACATCTAATTATTGTTTGGACCATTAGCTATTTTCTAAGTTTTAAAGGAGCTTTTGATTTAATTAAAATTTTAAATGTAACTGTTACATCTTGATTCTAAAATGCCAAGGCCTTCTTAATAATAAAAAATAATAATAATGCAATCCAGTCCAGTTCTATTGAAATTTGTATTCGGAACAGTGAATCCTGACTCAGTCCAGTAGATTTCAGAAAAGTTGAGGTCCGAATGGCCAATAAAGTGAAAAGTTAATGGCAAATACTGCAACTGAAAAAACATTTTAGTCTATTTCTCTCCCCAATATTACAGGTTACCTTTAAGGGTTTTCCTTCTCATTGAAACACGATGTGCCTTGGGCGCTTCCCCAGTGCAGCCACCTCGCAGGCAGACCATGGCAGGACTCGCAGGACGCTTCCCCAATGACGCCACCTCGCAGGCAGACCATAGTAGGACTCGCTGGACGCTTCCCCAATGACGCTACCTCGTAGATAGACCATGGCAGGACTCGTTGGCATCATGGATTGATCGAAGTAGCTGAAATGTAGATGTGTCCCTCTTCTTCTTGCAGTTGTCAGTGTGAGCTCTATCGAGAATAGCCATAATCGAGTTCTGTAAACAGAAAGAAAAACGGATTTAGGACTTTTCTACCTATGTCAGCACTTTGTAGCCAGGCTTACCTGTAAGCGTTTTCCATCTCACTGAAACACCATGTGCCTTGGACGCTTCCCAATGCAGCCACATCGTAGGCAGACCATGGCGGGACTCGCTGAACCCTTCCCCAATGATGCCACCTTGTAGACAGACCATGGCAGGACTCGCTGAACCCTTCCCCAATGATGCCACCTCGTAGACAGACCATGGCAGGACTCGCTGGACGCTTCTCTAATGACGCCACCTCGTAGACAGACTATGACAGGACTCGCTGGCACCAGGGATTGATCGAAGTAGCTGAAGTGTAGATGTGGCCCTTTTCTCCTTGCAGTTGTCAGTGTGAGCTCTATCTAGAATTGCCATAATCGAGTTCTGTAAACAGAAAAAAAAACGAATTAATGACTTTTTCTACCTACGTCAGCACTTTGCAGCCAGGCTTACCCGTAAGCGTTTCCATATCACTGGAACACCGTGTGCCTTGGACGCTTCCCCCAATGCAGCCATCTTGTAGACAGACCATGGCAGGACTCGCTGGTCGCTTCTCCAGTGACGCCACCTCGTAGACAGACCATGACAGGACTCGCTCTCACCAAGGATTAATCGAAGTAGCTGAAGTGTAGATGTGGCCCTCTTCTCCTTGCAGTTGTCAGTGTGAGCTCTATCAAAAATCGCCATAATCGAGTTCTGTAAACAGAAAGAAAAATGGATTTAGGACTTTTCTACCTATGTCAGCACTTTGCAGCCAGGCTTACCTGTAAGCGTTTTCCATCTCACTGAAACACCATGTGCCTTGAACGCTTCCCAATGCAGCCACCTCGTAGAGAGACCATGGCAGGACTCGCTGAACGCTTTCCCAAGGACGCCACCTCGTAGACAGACCATGGGAGGACTCGCTAGCACCAAGGATTGATCGAAGTACAGGTAGCTGAAGTGTAGATGTGGCCGTCTCCTCCTCACAGTTGTCAGTGTGAGCCCTATCGAGAATCGCCATAATCGAGTTCTGTAAACAGAAAAAAAAACGAATTAATGACTTTTTCTACCTACGTCAGCACTTTGCAGCCCGGCTTACCTGTAAAGTTTTCCATCTCACTGAAACACCGTGTGCCTTGGACGCTTCCCCAATGCAGCCATCTTGTAGACAGACCATGGCCGGACTAGCTGGACGCTTCCCCAATGCAGCCACCTCGTAGAGACAAACCATGGCAGGACTCGCAGGCACCAAGGATTGATCGAAGTAGCTGAAGTGTAGATGTGGCCCTCTTCTCCTTGCAGTCGTCAGTGTGAGCTCTATCAAAAATCGCCATAATCGAGTTCTGTAAACAGAAAGAAAAATGGATTTAGGACTTTTCTACCTATGTCAGCACTTTGCAGCCAGGCTTACCTGTAAGCGTTTTCCATCTCACTGAAACACCATGTGCCTTGAACGCTTCCCAATGCAGCCACCTCGTAGAGAGACCATGGCAGGACTCGCTGAACGCTTTCCCAAGGACGCCACCTCGTAGACAGACCATGGGAGGACTCGCTAGCACCAAGGATTGATCGAAGTACAGGTAGCTGAAGTGTAGATGTGGCCGTCTCCTCCTCACAGTTGTCAGTGTGAGCCCTATCGAGAATCGCCATAATCGAGTTCTGTAAACAGAAAAAAAAACGAATTAATGACTTTTTCTACCTACGTCAGCACTTTGCAGCCCGGCTTACCTGTAAAGTTTTCCATCTCACTGAAACACCGTGTGCCTTGGACGCTTCCCCAATGCAGCCATCTTGTAGACAGACCATGGCCGGACTAGCTGGACGCTTCCCCAATGCAGCCACCTCGTAGAGACAAACCATGGCAGGACTCGCAGGCACCAAGGATTGATCGAAGTAGCTGAAGTGTAGATGTGGCCCTCTTCTCCTTGCAGTTGTCAGTGTGCGCTCTATGAAAATCGCCATAATCGAGTTCTGTAAACAGAAAAAAAAAACGGATTAAAGACTTTTTCTACCTATGTCAGGACTTTGCAGCCAGGCTTACCTGTAAGGGTTTTCCATTTCACTGAAACACCGTGTGCCTTGGACGCTTCCCCAATGCAGCCACCTCGTAGACAGACCATGGCCGGACTAGCTGGACGCTTCCCCAATTAAATGCAGCCACCTCGTAGAGACAAACCATGGCAGGACTCGCAGGCACCAAGGATTGATCGAAGTAGCTGAAGTGTAGATGTAGCCCTCTTCTCCTTGCAGTTGTCATTGTGAGCTATATCGAGAATCGCCATAATGGAGTTCTGTTAAAAGAAAGAAAAACGGATTAATGACTTTTCCTACCTATGTCAGCACTCTGCAGTCTGCTTCCTGGACCTGTAATAGAAGAAACCTGGAACGCATGGAAATATATACAATGACACTACAACAATACAGCCCACAACAGCAGAAAGCCGATGATGTATCCTGCAAAGATTCCTGAGCGACGATTCCTCGTGGAGAGATGCGAAGGTTATAGCTGGCCAGCTTATAGAAACGTCGAATCCACGCCCAGACGAATGCGTGTGAAAGAAACATGTCGATGAGCGATGCCTTGACTTGGGATGAGGAAAATATGCGAAGAAATGAGAGTTGACTCCTGTGTCCTTTTTGCTCGATACGGAGAGAAGCACTTGACATCCTTCTTGTTGCTCCAGATCTGTCTGCGTTGAATGAACGCAATTTCAAAATTCCGCGCTTTTATACCTTCAGTGATATATAGTCACATGGTGGCGTTCCTGTTGTCACCAATGGTCAACTTGTTCATAGGGGGTGGTGTTTGATAGTGATGCGTAAAACTGATTATAATATCTTATGAGCATATAATTTTATTTACTTTTTTACTTTGATTATTCTGTATATCATTTTATTTTATAATAAGAGTAATAAGCACTAAGTAGTGACTTCGAAATGTACAGGCAAATTTGATGACAATTTCTGAGCAACATATCTTCTCCCCAAAATTATAGTGTCCACGATGTCCGTTAAACCGGTACAGGTAGCCGTGAACTTCTCGTAGGCCACATTAGTATGTGCGTATTCGAACACTGTTCCAAAATGTGGATAATGGAATAGGGCGTTGGGTGACTGCATTTTCGAGGCAGCCTGAGGGAGCATGATTGTTTTGATTGTAGTAAACTGTAGTGAGTCAATTGAAAGTACACTGGACTTACCACGTACAGCCACCTCAGTGCTCTAAAATAAATGTTGTAATCAACTGACTTGTTATTCTGAGAAATGAAAAACACGTTATTGTGATTTATCAAACAAAGAAAGCAGCAATAGGTCAAATGAAACATCTTGATTTACTTATACCAGGCAGTAGAAATAAATTATTATTATTATTATTTTTTTTATTATTATTATTATTATTTGCATATAAAGCGTCTATTGATATAGTAAATAACTAACAGCGGACGCGTCCCTTCATTACTTTGGGTTATCAGTACTCTAATGCCAGTAGCACGAGTAGAGAAAAATGGGCAAATAAAATAATATATAAGACAACAAGATAAAAATCAAAAGGAAATATTTCCCATTTATACGTTTACTTTATCCACTTAAACCGCAGTTGAGATTTACACTTCGCGTTTTAACATTTTTTGTTATAAGTCTCAGTGGTCACACCCTTTCACATATCCCTAGCTGTCGAGCATACAACCTAGATGTCGAGCACTAGAGCTAACATGTTAATAGGCCACTTGCTCATTATCAGTGTTTTCATGGCCAGGCACACAGCAGTTCCATTTGTGTGTTTTCTCAGTGAGGTGGTCTTTGACTCGGCCCAGCTTGAAAATCGAACTCAGGACTTGCCTCGCCTGCCACGAGAACACTCACTGATTCTCTCTCTCTCTCTCTCTCTCTCTCTCTCTCTCTCTCTCTCTCTATATATATATATATATATATATATATATATATATATATATATATATAAACAATTTTAAAAAAACTAATTATAAATTAAAGACAGAAAGAATTGTTTGTTCAGGTGGAAGTTTACTTACATCAGTCTAACAGCTTAAATAACTGCAAAAAATAATTTCTAGATTTATCTGGTCTGACAAAAAAAAATAATAAACGGACTGAAATTTAAACCATCGTTACCGTTGCTCTCAGGGCTATCTTACACTCTCCAATCGATCTAGTTTATTTTTTACTCAAGTACAAAATCAGGAAGCGAATATGATGTCTAACGACTCAGAAAATGTGTATGTTTTTCATTTAATTTAACTAACGCAATAAATAGATCGCGGTTGTGTTCGCGGTGTCACCTGGCTTTTAAAAATTGGTAAAAAAATCGTGACGTCTTTTAGCGAGGGGGATTATTTTCAGTTGTTTGATGTCCTTGTAATATTTTAGCCATATATAGAATCTTCCACCCCATTTCCATAGATTTTTAGATCGATCTATCCCTGTGGGGAGTCTCACTAGATTACTGTCAGCTTGGCCGGCTTAAGCCTCTGTCCCGCCTACTAAAAGCTGTAAGGGGGTAATTAACTATGGTGCCCGCTCGGCTGACTGCAATTTAGCGTGAACCCCCAGGGAGTTAGGTCGATCTAAATCTTAATCTCTAGATCGATCTAAATCTCTGGGAAAGCACCCTTCGATTCAGTTACTAGTACATCCTTGATTAGCTACACACACTGGTCAACAGAAGTGTCACCCCCTGAATCAGAGTAATCAATGTTATAATGCCTGGTCTACTTAGACCCCATTCCCAGAGATTAGACCGATCCAACTAGATCGACCTAACTCCCTGGGGGTTCACGCTAAATAGCTGTCAGCCGAGCGGACAAGAAAGTTAATTACCCCCTTACAGCTTTTAGTAGGCGGGACGGACATTTAAGCCGGATTATCTGACAGTAATCTAGTGAGACTCCCCATGGGGATAGATCGATCTAAAATCTATAGGAATGCGCCCTTATAATGCGACTAATGAGTATAAAACCACTGTACCATGGAATTGTATTGTTGGTCTTTTTGTGAAATTTAATGTTAATAAAATGATACCAGGAGCATATCATTCCACAGTCATTTATCTCCCCCAAAGTATTGGTTCAGTAGGGGTGACACTTCTATTGTCCAGTGTGTGTAGTTAATAGTCGGGCCTTATAAACGTATTAGCGTCAGATTTAATTGCCAGCACAACGTATTTGCACATCGTTTATCCGCTTATCCACTCCATCGGTACGTTCCATATGAGCAAAAGGTTGTCGAAAACTCATTGCTGCCGTATAAACCAATCAGTATTTGCCTATGTTTAAAGCCGGAGACCCGGATTGAAGCTGGCCATTTGTTTATGTGTAATAAAAAGCTGGATTTGTGTAAATTGACTTTACGTTGGGGTACTTAATTGGTGTTTGGAGACGTTATATCTGTGCATTTGTGGTCCCGAATCTAAGGCTTCGTTGGGTCAGCAAAGGGCAATGACATCTGATATCATACCAGCATATACATTACATATATATAAAGAATCCTTACATTTAATTAATTTCTTATATACGCTTCTAAGAATCTCCATTTTATGTGGTTTTTGCCTTACCCGTATTAAAGACTTCACTAAGACCAAACCCATTTATATCCTGTGATGACCTCTGAACACACAGTGTACCGATACATGTGGTGAATTACTGCTGTGTGATATTGAGACTAAAAGACCCAGCTGTAAGTATAATCAGATTTATTGTCCGATTAAATATCTGATATAATCCTGTATCTACATTAAAGAAAGAAAAACTTGAATACACGTAGTAAAAGTACATGTACGTTATAGTATTCTTTTCGATTTACACCCAGCAAATAATGAAACCGCAACTGGATGAAACAATTTTCACGCTTGTCAAATAGGGCATCTTTTTCCTAAATGACGAAACCACTTGGAACCAAATCGCGGAGTATAATAACGTTTTATTTAAGCAAAGCACAGCAAGAGTCGAATGTCCGGCATCTTTAAAGAAACAAATAAAGAAAATTCATCACCTGAAAACACAACTATTGTTCATGATGATGACATATTACATTTTTTTCAATTTCTACACCATAACTGAAAGTGTACCACTAAAAGCTTTCGTTCCAACACTTAGGCCTTCATCAGTCGCACTGAAGTTGTGAGAGTGTATAGTGAACAGTTCAGTGAGAATTGTCTACTCTGTAGCAACGTGCATTTTGTTT